ACACTTGTCTTAGCTCGTCTTATATAACATAAAACTGCAACTTTCAGAGGTTTGTTTGTCTTTTTTTTTTTTTTGCCACTTTTCTCCGTTTTTTTGTAAACTGAGGTGAAGTCACCTCAAGTTGTCTCCATGGCAACATCCTGCAGAATTCTCCTTATTAATGTTCGAGGACGTAAACGTGAAACAAGCAGCACCATCAGCAAAATGTCACGGCTCTCACTTGCTGTGAAAATGTTGATTTTTATTTAGGTCGACAAAACCAAAAGGGAGGGAATTTTAGTTTGTGACATTTTTGGTCTTGAACAAAAGGGAAAAATAAATCAAATGAAACGTGGTTTTGGCCTAAATGTTGCAGTAAACAGAACATCGTGCACTCGCTCGTTCTGACTCCCACAGACAGGAAGTGACAAATGTACAACAACAAACAAAGGCAGAGAGTCAAGCATCACTGCAGTTGCATAAACCTCCAACAAATCTTTTTTTATAACAGCTATAGTTTATAATCAGATTTGAAATCATTTCTACTTCTGGTGTCTGCTTTTTGTTTCTTTTTCACCTGCTGCCAAAAGCAGATGATGATGATGTTTTGGCCTTTATCTGTGTGTGCGCTTTTGAGTCTGTCTGTTAGCAAAATATCCTAGAACTCATTGGACAAAATTGATTGAAGGCCACAGAAAGTGATCATCGGATACATCTCTACAAATGATTAATGTTTGGAGTAAACCCAGTATGAAATGGCAGCCGCATCCACGAAACCTTATCAAACACAAAAACGTCTCTGATTCYGGCAGTTTTATAGATTTTTAATTAAAATTGGGTGTGGTAGTAGCCGAGAGTCATTTACAACACATGTCTTGAGCACTATGTGTTGAACGACATTTTGGCTTCAAACTTTGGCGTTAACGTTTTGGAGTCCATCCTCGTCTGTCTGTTAGCAAAATATCTCATGAACCACTGAAGAGATTTGAATGAAACTCTCAAAAATTAATGACTGGATGTATATCTAGAAATGTTAGACTTTTGACGTCAACCCARTTCAAGATGGCCCCCACAGCTGCTTGAACCCTGCCAACTTGAAAATGCCAATGCATCAGCCAGTTTGACAGATATTGAGCTGAAATTGTTAGTAGCTGACAGTCATCTCCAACACGTACTCTGAGTGCTAATAAAGATTGTTATATTGAGTGTGATGGTTATTTTCAAGATTTATCCAAAACAGCTCTAATTGTTATTTCTCAACATAAGATGGTGTATATAAGGGAGTGCTTCTTTGAGAACGGCTTTGTTTTGAATTTATGTCATAGTTTGAAGCTGCTGTTTGGTTGTTTAAACGTTGAAGGATTCTGTTTGATCTTTGCTGATCTACATGTCTCGGTTTCTCCCTCAGGATAGTCCGTGTCTACAGAGGGAAGAAGAGCTTCGGCTTTACGCTGCGAGGTCACGCTCCTGTCTGCATCGACTCAGTTATCCCAGGTAACACTCCTATTATACAGTATATACGT